ATATATAACAAATTCTTTTCTACTAGCTATGTTCACAATTAGATAGAAGCATTGTAATATATAATTACGTGTATTGTTATAGCATCCGTTATATTGCATATGTTGCAACATACAGTTAGCAAAGAAATATTTTGGAAGGGTATCCGTACATATATATATGACGAGTAAGTAATATACCATAATATAATAGTTACATGCAATTGAATTAAACATGTAAAGTATATATATAATAATAGTACTATAAAAAATTTTAGTTATTGTGTTATTTTGTAAACGGTAAGCTATATATGTTTGTATGACATACAAAAAAATACATTCTGCATCATTGAATGTATCTACTTTAATATCTTTATTGCTTCATTGCTCTTTATCTGATTGACACTCTGGTTGTTTTTCTCTTTTTGTTTTTTATTTTATCTAAGAAAGCACATTTTTAGGAAAGCTCGAACCTTTTTACTTTACTACCTAAGGTATAAATGATTTTAACGTCTTCTGCGCGTATTGTTTTCTTTTCATTTATTTTTCTTCTATTTTAATATTCAATTCTTTGCTTTCGCTCTATAAAGCAAAAGCTATAATTTTCTTGTTCCTTTTATTTGATTTTAATTATAACATGTGTTTAGATTACATTAATCACATTAACATATTCATTTATTTCTCATGATCTTAATTAAAAGAGAAAGAATCTCGTGTCTCATTCTTTATCATATTGTCATTTAAGATATAACTTAAATAAGGTGCAACTTTCTCTCTTATATTACATTATATATATTATATACGAATATAAATAAAAAAATACATTTATATTCTTTAATGCAATAATTTATCCATTGTTTACTTTCAACAATATTAAAATTTACAATTGCAGTACATATAAGTGGGGCGCTTTTAATGATTTCTGGACAGCTATGCAAACTGCCTTCGATAAAATATCATACTTTCCATTTGAAGGATTTAATATAACAAAACAGATGGCTCCTTGGATGAAGCAAAAGCATTATCCCGTCTTGAAAGTGATACGGAATCCTGGTGGTTTTAAAAATATAACACTAGAAGTTCTCAATACATCAAATAATTGGAGCATACCTCTAACGTATACTACACAAGCAGATTTGAATTTTAACGATACTTTACCTGAGATTTGGTTAAATATGTCAGATATGGGAGGGCATGCATATATTTTGGATATTGCAAATAGTAATTTTGATAGAGAGCTTAACGAGTCTGAATGGATAATATTCAACATAAAACAAACTGGTAAGTATTAATAAATAGCAACTATTTTTACACTACAAATGCAATCAAAATTTCTTTGAAATGCTTAATTTTTATGTTACGCATGTTTAAGAATACGCACATAATAATGCATATTAAAACATAATATAGAGATTATTTATAGTACAAATAATAAAATTAATTTATGTAATGGATCAATTTGAATGTATACAAAATTTTTGTCGCAATTTTAATTTCCACACACCACCAATTAAAAAAAATGACATACAAAGTTTTGTATTATTAATAAATATTAATATAAAATTTTTCTAATAATACAATTATTCTACATTTGGTACATTTATGCTTAATACACTTTTAACGTGCTTTAAAAAAACATACATTTAGATATTTAAAAATATTTTTAATAATTCATTAAAAAAATAATTAATGTTAAAATTTATTTTTGTTTATCAGGATATTATAGGGTCAACTACGATGCTAAAAACTGGCAATTAATTTCGGATTACCTAGACTCGCCGGATTTCATGAACATACATGTTCTCAATCGTGCTCAACTTATCGATGACGCGTTTCACTTAATGATAGCACGCCAACTCGATTCTTCTATATTCTGGAACCTCACGAGATATTTACACCAAGAGGAAGATTATGTGGCATGGTATCCTATGTTCAAAGCTTTGGAACAAATGTCGAGTGTTTTTCAATTGCAGGATTCAGAAGTTGATGCTATTAAGGTAGTTATTAATTAATTCCTACTCAATAAATATGTTACATATTAGAAAGTTGCATGTAAAACATATTTGCTATAATTCAACATATAAACATATAGATAATAATATATAAAAGTAAAAAAGTTTTTTAGAGTACATATAGTAACAAAAGCTAATATTTTATATTGTGTAACGATTATTAGAAAAATATGAACAAAATATTCAATATACTACTTCAAAAACTTGAATATGATGAAATCATCTACTTTTCAAGTCCGATCAAGAAATACGAACCCGATTTTAGAAAATCTTTAAGAGAAGAGGCTGCAAAATGGGCATGCCTTTTCGGTGAAATTAACTGTAGAAACAAAGCTTCCAGTATATTGAAAGAAAATTGGCTATTTCCAAATAAGTAATTTTTCTTATATATTCACAATATTCTTTAGTTACGGTTTTCTGTATCTATTGTAATATGATGTTTCAGATAAATTATTTCATCAAAATATGCAAGAGTGTTGGTTAAACTTTTCTAATAGAATTTTATTTTTGTATAGTATTTTGCTATGGTGGAGGGAATGGACTTTCTGTAATGGTTTAGCCGTATCAAACTCCACTTGGTCAAATATATACAAGTCATGGAAAAAATCCTATGATAACAGACTTTTCAAATTATTGGCTTGCGCTAAACCTAATACTATCAAGAATTATTTAACTCTAATAATAAATACAATTACAATTCAACAATCGAGTAAAAATGAGACATTAGATTTATTAGTTAAAGGTTTTGTTGACAATTTCCCCTTTATTATTGCAAAAAATATAAAAAATGAGGATATGCTTTCATATATATTATATCATGTTTTATATTTTGGAGAAGCCAGTGTAATGCCCAGGTAAAAATTGTGTGATATTTTTATACTATTCTTAATTACGACGAAAATTTGTTATCTGTATACTTCTTATTTTGTTTCTATAGCAAACTCAACATGATTGCAATATTAACTATTATTATCGATCATGTATATTCTGAGCTAGAACTTAACGTGGTAAATATTTCATGTGAATCTATTTACGTAAAATTTAATATATATTTTGTAAATTGAATTAAATTAAATTAATTA